CAACCCCCTCCCCCTGGAGGCAGGAAAAAACCTGTCATTAATGGATTTCTGAGAAGAAAGAAAAAGAAAGAGGATCGAGCTTGGGTGTGTACCAGGAACACTGCACTAGAGGAAATTCAGATTCTGCAGCCAAGAATTCATTCACATGGTTCCACATATATACACTCACAGGACGGCATCAGATACCCACAGTCACATGTGCACAAACATGCACATGCAAGCGTACACACACCTTTGCAAAGGTGCACACACTTAATGCATATACATGTGCTCATACATACATGCAAACTGACAGATGTTTTCACACCCACATTGGCACACACAGAAGCTAAATCTCTTTGTGGCTAAACTGTCTTCATGAAAGGATCTGAGAATTGGCTAATAACTGACTCATTTTGATTCTAGAATCTTAAAGTCCAATTTAGGGGTCTAGGGATGAAGTGCTAATGTGGATGAACTTGGTTGGCCTAAGGCTCATGGGGCCAAAGTTCCCATCTGTTTATTCTTTTACTCCACGTGTATTTGAGGAGGATTACAATTTGGGCTGTTCTTGTGGATTGTAGTGGGGAGAGGGCAGGACCAGAAGCCATGGAATGCATCTGACTTGAATTCACTCTCAACAGACTTGGACATGGCTCTCTGCTAGAGGCCGAGCCCTTTTGGCACCCTTGTCCCCAAAGGGTGGAGGGCGAGTGTTGAGAATTGCTGATCACGATAGGTGGCATTGCAGCTAAGTCTAAAGGCCCATCCTCAGCTCTATCCCTCATCATCACCTTCGCTGTCATACCACCATTGTCCTCCACGCAACTGCAGACACTTACTGAGCACCTACTAGGTAACAGATACCATCCTGGCTTCATGGATCTTACATTGGAGAAGATGAGGTAAAAGCTCTCTCTTCATAAAGTTTGCATTCTTAGAGAGCAGGGACCAGAAGGTGAGCAAATCAGCTCATGAGATGTCAGCTCCTGATCAGAGGTCTGATGAGACCAAAAACAGTAAATGACAGGGAGTGCTCAAACAGGCTCTGTGGATTTGGCTGCCCTGGAACAGAGAAAGCAGGTTCCTTTCATCTTATTGTTCCACCTAGGGTATTGTCCGTCAGTTCACTGTTGAAGGTAGCTGGCCTTCATCTGTGCATTCCAGCCTGTGGGACCAGAACCACTGCATCTTCCACCATTTAAATCACTCTTCAAAGCTCCAGGAGCCACACCTGAAGGCTGACAGTCCTAGAGTATTGCGACACTCCAGTTGCAGGGGGGGTTGTGATAATGGGCTCCTCAGGGCCCCTCGCCCATGTGGCTAACAACTCTGACCAAGCTCCTTGCTCATGGTCAGATGTACTATAGAGAGGAAATAACTCAGGAAAAATAAATACGCATACCCTACTTGGGTCCCTTTTGCTTGAAGACACATCCTCTTTTCCTGGGATCCTCCATATGACAGCACAGATCATCCTGGTTAATTGACATTTTGCATTTTGGTGAACATGGTTTCTCTACACCCACTGCTCCCACATCACCCATTCTCAGAGCTCTAGGAACAAGAGTACTGTGGAATTCTCAAATAGGAAGAGACCACAGAGGTATCTCAACAGCCCGCTCTGGACAGGACTCTCCTTGACAACATCTACTATGGGTGGCCAGCCCAACCTCTCCTCTTGCTCTGCCTTGACCAGAAGCTCACTACCTCTAGAAGCAACCCATTCCAAGGCTCAGTGGCTACAACAGATAGAAAACTCACTGCCATTGAGCCCACCCTGCCTCCCAGTACCCTCCCTCTGCCCCAGTCTCCTGCCTCTGCCTTCTGGGCCTGCAGTGCAACCCCAGCAAGCCTTGTGCACTTGTTCTAGGGACACTGGGACTTGGTCAGCCATCCAGCATGCTGGTAGGCAGACTAGCCAACAAAGCCAGTGGTTTCAGTGAATGGCAAGAACGAGTGGTCTCCTGGTTTGGGATATTGTGCTTAAAGCTGATTCTGTTGGTGATTGGTTAAGCTTTTACCCTCCAATGAGGTTTCTCTATGGGACCTGCTGCTTCAAATGATCTGTGTTAAGCTGGAGCTGTGAATATAGATGAGAACATGTATA